TGAGAACCTCAGTGACATTTCTAAACTACAACAGCTGAGGCTTCAGTGTGCAGCATACATATTCTTGACGCAAAAGTGGCCTACATCACGCAGGGATCAGGGATAAAATATATTAGCTTGAAATCCCTACGGAGAGCATCATCATTTATACATAGAGGAGACCCAGGCAGCGCAAAAACAGAAACACATCTGTCACTTACGGAGAGACACCTTCCTGCAGATTATGTCCGATAGCGACACTAAATCTGCTTCGTGTCGGGCTGTTCAGATATTCCAAAATCCTCCTCCCGCCCCACAAACCGAGCAGGCTGGTGTAGCCGCAGCGATCTAGATTTCTATTCGTGAGGTGCTCGCTTCGAATCTCGGCCGGGAACTCGCCTATCCTGACTTTTTGCACGACTTTACTCAGTTCCTCCAGGCAGTTGGGGGCACGCGGTAGGGTAGTTGGCTGAAGTACTATGCTACAAGCCAGAAGGTGGGCGTTCGATTCCCAATGAAGGTCATTAGTTTTTTTCAATTGACCTAATCCTCCCAGCCGCACTATAACCCTGGGGTTTACTCAGCCTTTAACAGAAATGAGTACCAGGAACCTTCCTGGGGATAAAGGTTGGCCGGCGCGTAAGGCTGACATCTTCACCGACATCTGTGAGCCTACTGTCTAGACAATGTGGGAGCCTCGACGTCTCACAACCCTATGGGCCTCCACGGCCTGTTACAGGGACAGCTTTACCTTCGCCTGCAGGAAAATTCCGGTAATTACCTGGAATAGACCATGATCGCCTCCTTCCAAGTCCTTTCCACTTCATCTGTTGCCAACCATCCTACCACTCGACAGATACTGATACAGATACAGATACAGATACTGAGAGCATCGTAAAATAAGCAACAAATATATATATATATATATCTCACGCCACGTTCTTCAGCGTACTGACAGATCTCGTGCGTTATAGAATGTCACAATTTGACGAAGAATAAAGAGTACAGTTTGAACTCGCGAAATCTAGTTGGGACATTATTAGCAGGAGTACACGCAGCCGGACGAGAGGCCGTGTAGTCTGGCCGGAAAGTCCTAACATTTTCTTATAAATGCACACAGCAAGATGAAGCCAATCACAGCGGGCGCGCGGTCTGAGCCATGAACTGTCTTCCCCCGCACAAACACTGAGATCGTGGGTTCGAATCCCACTCTAGGAATGGATGTCTGTGTGCGTCTATTCTGTTTGTGTTGTCCTGTATAGGTGGCCGCCTTGCGTCGGGCTGATCCTCTGTCGAGGGAGTCCTACCGACTGTGCATGCGATTAGGACATTTAAAAAGCTGCCAGGGTCCAACAAAGGGCTGTAGAGACATTGATGATAATGATGATTTTTATAGACATGAAAAACTGTACTGGAACCTACAAATTTCAACTCAACTACTTAAACACATAATTTCACTAGCTTAGGATGCAGATTCAAGATGTTTAATATACTGAGGACAACGTTTATTTTGTCATTTATGGACGCAACGGAATTCCTTCCTGAACGCTGGCCTATCTACCGCATAGAACTCCCAAACTGCAGACTCAGCGAGTACTGACATTCGGGACGGGAAACTGAAATGTCCATCTTTATATGCCGGCTGCAAGAGACCAGACAGTCACACTGCCTCAGTAGCTCAATAGTAACACCACCTTCCCACTTCTCCTTCCGCGGAAACCAATCGCTGCAACTGTGCGGCTTCCTACTCGACTGGCTGACTGATTAACAGTTCACGCGAGACATCTATCTGCAGATTCGGTACTAAGTTCCTCTCTCCTTTGTTTACTTACAAACTGCTTCGCTCGGCCGTCCTGTAAAAACCTTGACCTGCTTTCCAACCCATCCCCAATATCCTGTTAGTTGCCCTTTGCCCCTCCCCCAAGGTCCTCTTATTTTCAGTTGTCGTGAATGTTTCCAGCTATCTCAATCCGTCCCTTCCTGCGCCAACTTTCAACATGTTTCATAACCACCCTTACTTAATATATATTAGCGGCCTCCGTAGTCTAGGGGTAACGTTTTCCACCTCATGACTGAAGGTACGCGGGTTCAAACCCGGCGGAGGTCTTGGAATTTGTAAGGGCGGAAAAATTCAGGGAACAAGTCCTCCCGGAGGGACTTTAAGCCGTGGGTCCCGTGTCGTAGATTTACGGCACGTAAAAGAACCTCATGTCTCTATGAGACCTCTGAGCAAAATTAGGCAACAATTTCCCGCCCAAGTAGTTTCCAACGCCTCTGGTAGATGGGGGAAATATCAGGCACGCACCNTATATTTAGATGACACTATTCCATATTTAATTCACTAAAATGTTCGTTAAAATGCTGAAAATGTCACTAAAATATATTTACATTCTGTGTTTATGCGCCACATAGGGTGTTCGTTCTTCCTATCTTTTTTATTGCGACCGGCTTCTGCAATGTACGAGATTATTAACGATTCTGTCCTTAATTTTGGGGTTATGCTGCCTTTGCGTGCCTAGATGCTGTTATATTTGTATTTACGTGCCCCACTGAGTGTGCCGTGTGTTGATTTGTGTTCTCTGTAGTAATTTGGTGCGGCTGTTCTCGCTTAAATATCTTTCCAGGTAGCGAGTGCACTGCTACCTATCGTAAAGTTCACGTACTGTTTGGAATATAAGATTGTGTGCTTCACAAGATCGTTCATGTGTAGGTTGTTCCTGCTAATTTCGTAAATGTGATACTTGTCTAAGGTGTTTAAGAGTCTGCCTTTCCTTCCTGTCCTTATGACGTCCATAGTGTCTCTTCTTGTGGCACAGGTGTGTCCCGTGTTTAACATGTGCTTTCAATATCTGGATTCATTACTGTTGCTTCTGATGGCACGAGTATGTTGTTTATATCTTACACTGAGTGTTCTTCCTTTTTGAGCAGCATATTTTAACGGGCAATCCAAGCATTTTAGCTGATATTTGCCTCTGTTGTTGTATTCATCTGTCTGTGAGTGACATTTCAATATATTGTTGATCGTGTTTCGTGTGCGAAAGGCTACTCTGAGTTGCGTGTTTTTAAAAATCACTGTAATTCTTTTTAATTTTATGACCCATTACCATCTCGGGGTGTTTATATAATTGGGGCTGATCCTGCAAGCCTCTTGTTCACTTGTCGGTTCGTGCGGCTTCCTCTCCCATGTTTTTAACATGAATGCATCCTTCCAGTCACTGACCGTGTCTCGTGACTCTGTTTCGCATGTTTTACTTCATGATGAAAGTAAGTAAAAAAGTAAAGCTATCCCTGTAACAGGCCGTGAAGGCCCATAGGGTTGAGACGTTGAGGGTCCCACATTATCTAGACAATCGGCTCATAGATGGCGGTAAGGTTGTCAGCCTTACGCGCCCGGCGCGCTTTACTCCCCACGAAACTTATTTAATTAATTCCGGATACTCATTTCTGTTAGAGGCTGAGTCGACCCCAGGGCCATAGTGCGGCTGGAAAGACTAGGTCAATGGAAAAAATCCAATGACCTCATCGGGACATGAACCCGCGACCTTCCGGCTTGTAGCATAGTGCTTCAACCAACTACGCTACCGCGTGCCACCTTTACTTCATGATACTCGGTTCACATTCCTAGTCTTCCAAACATGTTGCACATCAAAACAACATTCATTGCCTGTGACCCACAGATCAGCCACAAGCAGCTTTGCGATCACGGGCCACAAGTATACTTCAAGAGGGTTTCTCTTCCAGGAGTTATGAGAAATTCCTGAGTTGGTAACAGGAAATTTATACATACTGAGCAATAAAACTTATACGGGAAAATATGATCAGATTTTGTTACTGAATCCAATCTGTTCCTCTGATGGCTGACATTTGCCACACTCAGAAATCAACCCTAATACAATTTTACTCTGAAGATGGAGTACTATATTCCTACAAAGCGTTGGTACATACATAAGTGAACGAAAACCCATGTGTGTCCATGAATATAAATGTTAATAACTTCTGCACGAATACATACACAAGAATCCTGCATCGATGTAAGTGGGAAAGTCGTTAAGTTCGTGGAATGTGGTTTTATCGCATTATATTACAAGGTATTCACATACACTTACGCAGATCCACATCGGCCCTCAAAATGGTTGCCATTGGCCGCTATGCAAGTCTGCCAACGCTGATACAGCTGCCGAAAACATTGCTGAAGCATATTGGCAGTAAATTCCCGTACGACGCTTTGCGGCTCTTCCATGAACTTATTGACTGCGGTAGTATATACATACCTACATTCACACATATAAAGTTACACACATGTATAGAGCTACATAAAGTGAATGACGGTTTAGTAGGGCTCATCTTATCAGTCTACTTTGTATTATCACTTATCACATACTGGGGGTTATGTCTATCGACGGGGTATGGATTGGATATTGGATTTATTGACACCACTCGGAACTACAGGTAATTACAGCGCTACCGCTGATCTACACACTTTACAAATCACTAAGACACGCTAAGTCTTCTCACTCTTCACTAGCCGTATCCTGGCGGCAGATTTTTGACAGTCTCACTGTAACTACAGCACAAATAAAGTCTTTCCACAGACGCATTCTTGCAAGTCTTTTCTTCGCAACTGAACTCTCAACTCTCAACCCACTCTCTCGATTCCACAATCATCAACTCAGTTGGCCTGGGGTCCTCAATATACAGCATGGGGGCGGACCCAACAGAAGACATCGTTGCCAACAATATTTCCACTGTTTGGCAATGTCACGGAAACATTGTCTAGCAATGGACGTCTCCTCTAGATCCACTATTCCGGCCTTCAGGCGTCATGTCACAATATGCTGAAATGTGAAGTGACTATCTGAGTGTACCCAACGTATTTTCTTTTGCTCAAGTACAATTAAAATCCCCGACACGTGCCCGATATAAACGACGCGATTCAAGGAGAAGAGCACCAGATGCTAAAGAAAATGTTACAATTTATGCACGCGAATAATCGTGTTTTAATGATGGTGCCTCTGTTGCAGCTGCTGCCAATCGTTGCACTTGCTTGTGGCACGTACTATGGCGTGCGGTTTGCTACGTATTATCAGCAGAAAGACAGATCATGGTACATGCGCCCTGAAGGTAAGCACGAGTGTGTTTCAGGACGTCCCGACAGACTCTAATTATTACAGAGAGAGGGTCGCCGGAAGGCAAGCAGTGTACTGTCTGACACTCTGTACATACACTACACGTTTGCATATTAAAAATGTGAACAATGTGAAGTTGGCACCACCGAACATCGCGGTCGAGTGGGTGGCACTCCTGCTTCCCGTTCTGGAGGTCCCGGCTTCATATTTCGTTCCGATGACCGGCAATATTCACTCAGGATGACACCCCTCTTACGGGGCTACAGTTTTCCACTGATCAGCTCGCAGTCCCTTATTCTTTCACTATATTTGTATACTTGTTATCCGAAGTGACTTGCTATTTTGTTCTGAAGACGGAGGCAGGAACTTGTTTCGAAACGTTGGTTAATTTGTAGTAGAGTACACTGTTCCACATTCATTAGACAACAGTCTTCAATAATGAAATTTGCTTTATTTCAGTAATTCTGTCAACCACAGCAGCGGGGTTTGTGCTATGTGTGACCGAGTTGATAACCAGCAGCTTACTCCTGCGGGGAGTGGTCAAGGTAAAGGATGCTTCTTGACGCAACAAAGCAAAAGAGGCAATTACCCTTCCCAGTGCAAGCCGCTATGTCTGTAAATATTAATTCTTCTTACTACGAGGGAGAGTCAGTAAATAGGTCACAAACGGAAGTAAAACAGCTGTAATGGATACAATAGGTTTTCTGTGTTACCACTATGTAGCAGCACAGTCCAGTTTCATGAGTCTAGGTGGCAAACGCGCATGCGCATGTTCAGAGGCTGATTTCGGTAGTCAAAATAGCCACCGTGCTTGAGTTTTGTAATACCGAAGAGCAGTGTCATTGTGCATTTTTTGTGGGCAAAATGCCTCAATGCAAAGGATATTAATATGGAAATGTTTCCTGTTTACGGTGAGAAGTATCTGTAGGGTAAAGCGGTTCACAACTGCTTCGAGAAATTCTCTCAAGGCCGTTCGAAAGTCGTAAATTATGCCCGACCGGATGCGGAAGGGCTCAGACAGCAGTCAAAACAGTTTTATGCTGCGGGCTTTGACGCACTGGTAAAGCGATGGGACAAATGTCTCAATGTTGGCATATGTGGAGGAATAAATGCCTTTTCCACGTTCGAGTATCACATGTTTTACGTTTTATGTCCGTTTCTCACTTACTGACTCCCCCTCTTAAACGCGCGGTTAATGGCAACACACATCCGGAATCAACAAGCGGACTGGCGTAGGTGTTCGGTTTAAATGTGGGAGGGTGCACAGACCTTACTGACTGAGAATTCTCATGATTCCTCCAGCTCCTCCACTGAAATGTCTCTAGTAGGCCACGACCAATTCCCTACAAATAATTTCCAGCACATCATCTTGCCATGTGGCTCTCTAGATACAATGACACTCCAATAAAATGAACCATAACATGGCGTTGGGTCTAGCGGTAGCGCTTGACTTCTACTCGGAAGGTTCCGGGTTCGATATTATCCTTCCTGAAATTCTTAGTGGTTTTGCTCGGACTCTCCAAACAGATATCGGAATTGTACCTTACATTAGACCATTCCCTCTTCATTCCATCCCCTATCCAATACCTGCTAATTCATCACTTCAACATTTCAGGATATGCAATCTGTGCTTTATTGCGTCATTAAGTAAATACGAAATAAAATATATAAGATTACTCTGATTTGGGGGAACGGTGTTGAACAGACTGTCATGAAATGAAACACAACTAATTCGCTGTTCCTGCCAGCACAGAAGATTGCTGTGGGAATGCTGACGCCACTAGTTTGCTCCAGAACGTCTTAGTAACCCCCCCCCTCACTCCTTCTTGGTTCTTACGTGTACATAAATGGGTGCAATGCCCTCGTAAGACCCAATCAATAAACCATTATTCCACAACACAGACCGACATGTGGCACTACGCGGAAACAAACACAACAAAAAAGCTCTGAAGTTCACACACCCATCACGTCAACACATAAATGCCGTGTATGTCATGGATAATTTTCCTTGAACGGTTTTCCTTGTGAGCTCAAATTAAGAGGAAATTTGTTGGCAACTCCACTTCTCTCTTTGGGAAAGACTCGCCTGGGTTCTCGCCCTCGCGCACTGATACCGCACGCGAAGCTGCGAGGGCCACGCCATGTCACTGACGAGGCAGACGGGGGAGTGACAGAGGAAGGGAATGGAAGGAACGTACAGAGACAAGAGAGAGGAAGATGAGAACGAGAAGAGAAAAAGTAACAGGGAGGTGCTCTGCCCGACATTGGCCGTGACGCCGTATATTCTTATATCTTTTGTGGTTTCGTCCAGTCATTCCAGGCAGATGACAAGATATAACATCGGTTCAGACCACAACCGCTTCCTTCCAAATCCTTTCCAATTCATCATCCTAGCAGTCAATGCTATATAGGCTAGATGGCTGTGTCGTTAAATAAACCATAAACATAAAAATTGTACAGATGAGGGGCTGATAGTTGCTAACTTGTCAGAAACATTCCCCGATTTTCGTAGAACCTGAAATTTTCATATCGCCTTTAAGACTCCTAATGATATTGTATTATACTGAAGAACATGCGGCTTTAGCCCTTATCCATTGTCTAGTATTCCGAACAAGACACAGCCTTTCGGATAATGGATGCTCCTTTTGGGAGTCGGGGAAGTTGCTATGACGTGCGTGTATTCGGGACGTACCTTCTTTGACTCTCGAGACATTTTTTCTTGGTTTCCCTTCAGTCCCTTCATTCCGGGACATCACCTTCCAAATCAATTGTAATTAAGCATTTGTGTATCATCGTACGAATCAACGCTACACAGCCTGCTACTGAGAGCGTCATAAAACAACCCACCCAACAGCTCCTCCTGAATGTGCCATCCCGGTCACCGGACTTCAAGCAGGGGCTTTCTCCCGACACTTGTCTAGTTAGAAGAAAATCGCGCACCCTTTCTGTGTATACAGACTTATGCTGTATTGCCAAACCGCACTCCCGGTTCTTCCCCGATACTGTAAACTTCAGATTATCTGCACATCAGCTGACATACTGCGTCCAAATCCACAACAACGATGCGTTGCCATGCCATCTGCATATGGAGCTCACCCTACTGAAAGCAGTAGGGAGATCCTTAATTCCGGGGGTTTATGGGGTGCGCTTATTTCTTGTTGCAGTACGACCGACGCCTGGTGATGCCGTGGCTAGTGGACAACGCAATCATGTGCGGGTTGCTGTTCCTGATCGTTGTAGGCGGCGCCATCAGCTGTGTTATCCTGACGGCTAGCCAGCTCAAGGACGACCTCACCACCTTAACATACGGATTCCTCATCCTGGTGCCCGGATGCTTCGTCGTCGGTAACAAAGGCTATCTACTTTATGTTATCCCAGCCGAAACGTCCTTGTTTCTCCAATGAGCGAAAGACGTACCTTTGTGGGTTAATTTATGAAGCTGCCGGTCGCCATTCTATATAATGTCGAATGCCAGGGTGATGGATTAATCAAGAGAATTTAGAAATAAGTGGTCGTAGCCCACTTTTTTTTATTTATTTGGTTGCTAATTTACAGTCTACTCTAGTGACAACAGAGCAATAAGTAAATGTTCGGGTGTCGTAGTAGCGTAGCCCACATTGAGATTATATTCCGGCATCCTCCTGGGGGGCTGACAGAAACCACAAAAAAAAAATCAGTCGGCATGTCCGGTGGTTTTCTTTCCAGATATTTGCATACATTACTCGTCTCCCCAAAATGTGCTACATACCCCACCCATCCCATCCTCTTCGCTTTCATAATTCTAATAGTCTGGCGAGCAGTATAAACAATGAGAACTCCACATTATGTAACTTTTCCCAGCCTCTTGTCACTTCATCCCTCTTGTGCTGAAATATTGTTTCCAACGCCCAGTTCGCGAGCACCCTCAGCCTATGATAGACAGCGTGTCCTCAGCCGTTGCACTCTGTAACACATCACAACCACAACCCCACAAAGCCTACTGTGAAGAAACACGATCATCACGGGGACTCACAGCAAAATTCCATTACTTTTAACAGAACATATGTTAACCCTTACCAGACAACGCATGCGCGTAACACACGTAAAGCGTTACCTCTGAATTTCTGGCTGCCTTCTGATTGTGACCCTCTTTCGTCCAAAACATGCGAAGTCTCCATTTCATTATCAGCATGAAACATTTCTGCATGTTACTGCGAGAGACACAAGTTCAAATCCCTGCAAAAGTACAGGCCAGGCTAGAGCATCATGCACTCCTCAAATGTTTTCAGTTCCAGACAGAGACAGCGCTGCCCAATCGTGCGTGTCACTGAGCTGTGCTCTGTTCCAGGAGCGTACATATATCTGCTCTTGGTGGTGTACAGTTTCTACTGCCTGCTACCCATGCTGTCGTCCGAGAGGATCGCCATTCTATTGGACCGCTTCAAGAACCCATATTTTAGGCATGAAAATGAGAGTGATCACACTACGACAGAGAATTGGGGAAACATCACGGCAACGCATCGGTTCTCAGGCTATTGACTCGGTTAGTTCAGACACTGGGGATGCTTGTGCCACCTGCAAAGCCGTTTCTGCAACTCACCAGTCTTATAAACAAATGACAATCCGTGTAACAAATTAATCTGCAGAGCGAAGTGGAAATATAGGGTGGGCTTTCCCACAGGAAGTGTAAGGCACTCACAGGGACATCACGGCCGTACAAACAGATGTCCTAGCGGTATGTGAGTGCACTGTACAAACATTGTACTGTGAGATAAATTTTCTGCTGAAATATAAAGCAATTATGTTCGTTCCGGACAGATTTACTTTAAACGGTGCGGTATACAGAGAATTGTCAACATGCTTATGAATGATGGATTGCGGCAAGATTTGGCAGAAGCCAGTTGTGGCTAATCGTGATATTTTATTGGATGGGCTGTACAAACCGCAAAGTACCTCAGTTAGGAAAGCGGGTGTTTATTATAGTAGCGATTATATTATGTACATCCGACTCAAAAAGCATGAATAATCTGACATGTTTCCAAAACATAAATAGAGACAAAGCTTGAATATTTTGGGCTTATGTTTACAGAAACAAATGTGAGATTGGCAAGCATTATCTTCCTTAAAGTAGTGTCTTGCACTCTGGTAGAATTTCGCCAGCGTTTCGAAGGAACTTATTGCCTTCATCGGATAACTTCTACCGGGCTATACGGCGTTACACCCTACAAAACAATATTCGTCATAGTCAACGCTGTGAGAATCTCAGTTCCAACAATTGTAACCTCGTTCCATAACCATCCTTCTCAAACTATTCCAAGCAACATAACTAATACACAGAACAATCCAACGTACTCTCACTCTATGAGTGACTACAGACGGAGTATGGATTGATGACTCGATTTACTGAACACTCATACACTCACGACTCGTGACTACACTTCACAGATCAATGATACATGAAGACTTAGTGTCCTCAGTCTATTACAGTCTCCACAAGCTGTTTCCTGGCAACGGAATTTAATACAAAACTATAATAATCTCACTGAATTTATATAAATTGTTCCCTTCACAGCCGTCCTCTTGCAAATAACTGGCCGCCGTTTCACATGAATCTCTTAGTCTTCTCTTCAGCGCCAGACTACCAACTGAGCACTCTTGCAATTAATTAATTTCCCCAAACTGTCCCTGTTATAACATATCAGCTCGGACCACATATAAAACACCGTTCCTCTGTTGCTGTACCGTGTTGCATTCGTGTCTGTTGCTCCAGAACAAGTTTACCGAGCCGTTGCCAAGAAACGGTTCGGGTATATTTGCTTATCTCACGGTTGTTGCATAGTAACAGTACATTAAATTTTATCATATAACCCAACAGCTCTGTCGATATAGCGACGGGCTACGGGCCAGACGACCGGGATTCGATTCCAGGCAGGGGCAACTTTTTCCATTTTCGACATCGTCCAGACCGGCTCTCGGTCCCAGCCAGCCTATCTAATGAGTATCGGAGGAGTTTCCCAGGGGTAAAATATCCGGAGCGTGAAGCTGACTACTCGCTCCATCTGGTGCCGACGTTAAAATGGTGTAGATGTACCTCCACTCCCCCATACGCGGTGCTTGATGAATTAATCACAGAGACAACCCGATCTGCCTAATTAATCTTGCTGTGACCCAGTTCGTTGGTACCTGGGCCGCAAGTGGCCCCACTTTTACACAGTGATGAATGAAAATGGAAAACTGATGAATGATGATTGGCAGTAAAAACCCCAAGTAATCAAGGGAAATGCCTCTCTGAGTGCAGCAGTGAGCAGCATAAATGCAACTAAGTAACCGAGTCAATGGCGCAGCCGAAGGTCCGTTACCTTGTCCACAGGATTCCGCTGATACAACATTTCGTACGTCTCTCTTAACGATGACGAGTTCTTAGTCCCTTGTGCCATACCCACACTGGAGGACCACCTCTTGTCGGTTCTTGGAGACTGTTATTCAATATACCTGAAGTTTCCCTTCATATCTGGGTGCCGCTTGCATGTCCGGAAACTAAGGACGCGCCATGTCTGGTGACGAAGGAAACACGTGACGTTATAATTATATATTCCAACAGTCATATGATATAGTTTGGCGGGTTTCACGTCGTCAAACAGTGCCCGATGTAGGACCTAACTATCTGCATTTTCACTTCTGCGGTCCGTCTGTCACAACATGCAAGTATTATTTACATAATTACAGTACTTCATGTAAGAACATACATTCATTTGTGCCCGTCACAGTGGCCGCGCGGTCTAAGGCATGAACTCTCTTCACCCACTCAAACACTGGGATCGTGGGTTCGAATCCCACTTGATGCATTGATGTCTGTCTGCGTTTATTCTGTGTTTGTGTTGTTCTGTGTATAGGTAGAGGCCTTCCGACGGGCTGATCCCCCGTACAAGGGGTCCTACCCACTGTGTATAGATTAAGAAACAGAAAAGCGGTCAAGGTTCACAAGGGCTCCAGATCCACAAAGAAACGGATAGACAGGCAGGTAGGTAGACGGATAGACAGATAGAAAGACAGACAGAACGACAGTGTTACCTCGCAACCAGGACGTTAGATCAATTTATTAAACAAGAAGTTCTGAGAAGAATAGTTTACTTTCATTAATGCTACATGGACCGCATAGAAAACAACGCGTCTAACAATCCTTCTGTTATATATATTCCTTGACGCGTAACGCTTTTAACTAGCCGTTGCCTAGCAACGATAGGGGGATATACATATGGACACGCAGACTGATGTGAAGGATTTATGAAGTCAACCGTTGTGATGGGCTCATGTGCCACGATAGACTGGTCTGCTTTTACCGGTTCTCACGGTCTCTTCGCTTGCGGATTTCTTATATTTTTCCTTCTACCCTGAAGATGGGGGGGATACGTTCCTCCGAAACGTCGGTTAACACCACATATTCACGGTGCCAAATCCCAGAAGACTGCTTGCTTCATAATTACACTTCATTAATTTATATTAAGCTGTAATTTAATTATGCTTCTCTGCTTCAGTTTACCTCGGTTCGGTGCTTTCAGCGTGTTGTTTCAGGTGGCGTTTATTTTACCGTGTGTTCCTACTTCCAAGCAGACGGTTAGCTGTATTACTTCACAATGAGTGCTGTCATGCCTCTTATTATTTACTTTCAGTAACCGGAATATTATTTTTATTTCATTATTCTGTTATCAGTAACCCGGTAACGACTATAGCACTTACGTGTTGTGTTGTAACGCAATGTTAATCTAATTCTGAGCCATGACGAGACGAATAGCATTACGTGGGAACTAGAGCGCTTTCAGCAAATGCTGTAATAGCAACTGCTCTGACGTCAAACAGTTTGCCGCATATACGTATATACACGAAGCCTCCCTGTTATAATAATGTCATTAATTTCTCTCATTTCAACACGAACTAAACTGCCCACAAATTTCTTGCCACAATAACAAACTCCAACTCTACAATAACAAAATATTAAATTGTGTAACATAAATGAGGAATGTACAATTCATCTGAGAAAGTTTTCACGGCCGCTCGGCTTTCTGTTAACAGTCGAATTTCAGGTTATCTGCAAATATCACACAGAGAAAAACTGTTGCCCAATTTATCTGTTCCAGCAACATGGACAACGATGAGTAACTGTTTCCTTGGATGTGACTCCGTGTAGTCTGGTAGTTCTTTATCAACTTTTCAGAGGAATGTGCTGTTTGATTTCTGAGAATATGAAGCTATTCTCTTCTGAAGATAGAAGCAGTATATTCCTCCGAAATGTCTGTGTGGATCCACCAACTTTGCGGCGCCACATTTCATTGGTAGTTATGTTCTTGGACCTCTTATGAGTGTTATATTCGTTAGATGGACGGGCTCGTTCAGGAGTAACACACAGAAGTGTGGGTTGATTCTGAAGAGTTAAGATGATACTGTATAACAGTGAGCATTACTGGGCTTTTGGAATTCGTCCACGGTCCGGTATTTTAAAGAAGACAGTGTCTCGGGGACTGTATCTGCTTCCTTCCTCACGTGAAAGGATGGGAGCCACATACCCGGTTGGGACCAGTGCTTAAGGCGAGTTCTTTGTAACGGATCCAACAGAGTAGATGCCTCTCATCCTTCCACCTGAGGATGGAAATAGACTCCCTTTCCAAAAAAAAAAAAAGTGTACTTTAGAATATCGGACGGTGACCGAAGTCCAAAAAATCAGTAAACCCAAATTTAGAAGTCTCGTTCTTATTATTAAGAAAATATATAGCACATCCATTATGAAATACACGTATACTCGGCTAACACCGCCCGAGAAGTCCGTCTTCCTATGAGAGCCAACGCAGATTAATAAATAAAGCATACGTCGCCGTGGTGACGCGACAACTTCTCTGACACATCTGTTTATTAGGTAGCCTAAACATGGCACTGCAGGCAGTTAGTTCTGAAATGATTCCATGACGCTTTGACCTAATTCACGCACGTCCTACCTCATGATGATAAGATATTACGCGAATACAACAGGTGTCGCCGTGATGACACGACAACTTCTCTGACACGGCTGTTTGGCAAGTAGTCTAAACAGAGCACTGCAGGCGCTTAGCGCTGAAACGATATCATAACGCGTTGTCCTAAAGAGACGCAGAGCCCTATCTCTTGAACTGACTTCATGGAGCTGAGCCCTCCTTGAGACACCGCTAGTTGTGTAGCTACTCAAGAACTTCCCAGCATTTTACGTAGCCCGAAGGTTCAGCACCTTTTTCACAAGAGCCCTCCACTTGTCCTGTTCTCAGCCAGATCAATCCAGTCCAAGAACCATTTATTAATATCCACCCACCTAAGCCTTGGTCTTCCTAGTGGGCCCTTTCCTCCTGGCTTTCCCACCAATATCCTATATGCATTCCGCTTAGCTCCGTTCGTGCTATATGCACTGCCCATCTCATCCTCCTTGACTTGATCATTCTAATTATACCTGGAGAAGAGTACAAGTTATGAAGCTCCTCATTATGCAGTTTTCTCCAACTTCCTGTCACTTCATCACTCTTCGGTCGAAATGTTCTCAACACCCTGTTCTCGAACACCCTCAGTCTATGTTCCTCCCTTAATGTCAGAGGCCAAGTTCTAATTTTTATGTTTTTAGGCACCAGACGAGCAGACGAAAGGTTCCAAACTGAATGGTAACAAGCATTACCCGAATTCAATCTGCTCTTTAATTTCTTCTGAATAAAATTTCCATTTGTTACTGTCGTTCCCAAATATTTGAACTGAGCCACATTCTCCTATTTTACAACATCATTAAATTCTTAAATACGCCTATCTTCTTCTTCCTGATATAGCTGTATGTTTGCATTTACGAGGCCCAAGCTCTCACCTGTAACATATTGCTTCAAGAGCCGATTTCAATTCGGACGCGGGAATAATGATGTCGGAACTTGTATCAGCGTAGCTACCCACACTTGCCCGGGGCACATATGCGGAAGAGAAGAGGGAGGCCGGTGCGTAAGGCTGACCTCACCGCCATCTGTGAGCCGACTGTCTAGAGAAGATGTGGGAACCTCGACGTCTCACAACTCCACGGGCCTCTACGGCCTGTTACAGGGATAGCTTT